TGTGTACTATTAAATTTTTAGTTTTTGAAAATTAAATTTACTTTCATGCACTGTGTCGATTTTTAGTCAGCGACTAGATACGCAAAGGCTAACTGCAGCCGGAAGGTGCACATATGTTGTATTTCTTGAGCGCTTTGGCACGGCCCCTTCGAAACATGACGTTACCCTTATTCGCAGCACAATGACTTGTCGTTCTTTCCTATTTCTATTGTACCAAGGCACATTGGGGTGAATTCCTTTCTGAAGGAAACTAGCACTTAACTGATAGAATTTCCGCCAGGCGTTGCGCTTCAACCGGACACCTCTAAAGTGCAAAGCAAACTACTAACCCATCACGCCACTGCTCCCTGATGTACTTTCGTACACGTTGAATACTTTTGGGCGTCATTTATCGAAATCCTGATCATCCAGAACGAGTGGTCGTACATAAGTCGGTTGTAGGCGACATTCCGAATGTCGCACATTTGTTACGTCGAACGGAAAGACGGTACGGAAGTTTTAGAGCCAATGGTGTGACTCACACCATTACTTACTGCTCACACATACTTACGTTCATAGTAACTCTGCCAAAAACGTTGTTCGACATGTGCAGTAGAATTACGTTGAAATTTCAGGTGAATATAATTTCCGGACGAACTGCCAAGCCACAATTAATAAACCGGATCATTAAGATCTCGGTCGATCACAGCCCAAGGTTACAGAAACTGGACACGGTTTATGCGTACCATTTGGGCTCCAAATTTCTGGTCGAAGTGCATGTGATGCTCGACGGCAACATGACCTTGCGAGAAGCGCACGACATTACCGAACCCCTGCAGAGAAAGTTGGAGTACCTGCCGGACGTCGAACGAGCCTTCGTGCATGCCGACTACGAGGTGGATCATCGACCGGAATACGAACACAAAATCGTCTGAATGGATATGTCGCACTCTTCAGTCAGTGAAGTATCCCCCTCCCCCCGCCCCCCCCTAGTTCGCAAATGATTCTGTGTCATGTGCATCCTACCTGCGATACCGTGGCACCGGACCGATAGTCAAACATTTTCATAGGCGAAATGAACCTTGCAAACGGCTGTTGTAGAGGTCTGCTCAAACGCAAATTTATGAACACTCTCAGGTTTGTTTAATGCACGGAAATATTGCAACAACTTTCAAAATAAACTGAATCCTTGCTGCTCGTTTAGAAACGCCTCTCGAATAATTATTAATTTTTGTTTATTAATTAATAGCTAAAACTTTTGTTTACGAGTTACAGCCTCTGCAGATTCGTTCAGTGCACTACGCTGTGGGTCAGTGTGAAGTTGTAAGGTGCACACATGTCCCTTTTTCTCCAATTCTGTAGCACTCACACTGCCATGTTGTTCTTCTTGCAAGCTCAAAGACCCGCTACTTCTTTCGCAGTCTACTGAATCGAAAGCGAATGAGGTGAATTCATAATTAATTAAAAATTTAGCCGGAAGACGGTTTCGACTCAACAGCGAAAGCGCACACTACGATCTACTGCATACTGCTTTTCAAGATTCAGCTGACATGTGGTTAAGATTTGCGGTTCCAACAAGCACATTCACAGAGCAGAGCCAAACGCCTACCATCCACGTTGGTGTTCTCCCGATGACCAGCGTTTTCTCGTCTTTTAGTTTTGCGACATCACCAAAGAACAGTAAATATCTGAGATAGATGAAATGAGATCCTTGAGATTATTAACTGTTTTTATCACTCATAATCGATATTGTCTACAATAAGCTTACAAAGAATACAGCAGAATTAACAATCAGTTCATTTTCAACTTTACAGTGGTCTAGATAAGGCGTATGGTATGAATGGTGAAGCAGTTTATCTGTACTTTTCTGCTTTGGGCATAAATGTGAGCGAATTAGGTTCCCAAATTTGTTTGTTTAAACTGGCATTGATGGATCGAGGAATCTTCTTTTTAAGTTCACATCAATGAATCCCAATGCCATTCATTGACTTGAATTCCACATAGTCAAACATCGATAATGTGCAAAGGGTACAGCACGTAAAAATAGGATTTATTCACCGCAAATAAATGATCAGCCCAGCAAAGGCGATCAGAAGTGAGGTAAACACATGAATTCCTATACCTTAGTGCTGATTAGACGTGTCAATCAATAACTTGTTCTGCAAACCAGTCGTCTTTTCGTTCGAGAGTACAAACAGCAAGTACAATTATGCATTTTAAAATGGACGATATAAATCTGCATTACCGAAACTTTACATAGGCGCGGCGATAAGGTGGGCCTTCGAGGTCCGGAAGAAAATTCGAATCCTGAATGAGGAAAAGTTTTTACTGGGCAATGACTCCGCTGAGCAAGCAATTGATCCTGCGTTACTTTGGTGTGCAGCCAGCTGAGAAACGGTTAACACTGTGCTGACCTGCGAACGACAAGGGCGACGTAGCATTCTGGTCTGGTCATGCCAAAAACGGGAGGAACCGCTATGCTGTCCGATGCGATCGCTTCTTGTGGCTGTAATTCGACTCGACACCTGACATTTGGCTACCCAATATGAGCATGAGCATGAGGTGTAAACTCTATTATCGTTATCAAAGTCGAGAGCACAACAGAGACTATTTTTATTTATCAGTTCATTACGATTCATGGTTCAGGGCGAACAAAGAATCTTGAACTTTATCCAAGATCGTGAATTGACAGGAAGTGGTGGAGAAAAATTAATATCAGCGGCAAGAAATAGACATTCCATTGCGAGTGCTTTCTCGCTAACATCGTTAACAGTTCTTCTCGTCCGTTTGTCCTCGTTCCCCTCCAGCATCTGCAGTGGCCAGGCCAGCTGATCGGTCTCGAATTTGCACTGTGCATTGGCGAGTTACGAAACTTCATTATTAAAGAGGTTGATCAAATTGATATAGAAGATTGTATGCTGAACAATGCTGTAAGCGACAACAATATTTCCAGCATCAGATGGGTCTGTTTATACGACTGACTTTTCATTTCTCCAAGAATGGGAAGCCTCTATTCGACGATCGTAGTTTTCACCGAACTTGCTTGAGATGAGCCACCGACCAACCATACCCCGTCAGTGAAGAAATAATCGAGTTAGATTATTCAGCAGTCTTTGAAACGGCATGGCTGCCCTCGCTACACATTACATTTCCTTCAGAAAATACGTTACATGATGAAAATGCTTTCTTCACGAACTACTATGATTTAGATTTCAAAATTCTGTTGACCTAATAATGTTTAAACAAGATAAAACATATCTTGTTTATTATGTTATATCCTCTCAAATTTAAATACTTCAGTGGCTGTGAAGTTGATAAACTTTACTTGATTGATCTCTGCTTAATGCTGTGGTGATGATAGTTTCTATCCCTTTATCCAGCGAGTCGTCATCCCCTGTTCAAAAGTTTGATTTGAGCATGTTTCTTTCGGAATTTATGCAAATGATTCTAATTCCTCCATTCTGATTTGTAATCAGAATGCTAACTTCGAAACAGAGGCATTAAGCAATAGACTATTAACAGTCATAGAGAGCAATAGACTAGATAACAGTTATATTTAAAGGCAACGTAACAGGAAACGTATTTTAACGCAATAAACAGCAAATATTAGTGAGGCATTTCTGTTACGAGCGTCGCAGTGTGCCAGAAATTAAAGTTCTAAAACTTCTGAGTTTCCCAACGTTCCCCGGAAGTTGTTTCCGCCGGCTTCTTGGATCGACGTGGTTTCGGCTTTTCGTACGACAGCTCTTCCTCATGGTTCAAGAAACAAACGTAACGCGACAGCACGAAAAGAAAGTCACTCAATCTGAAAATTAAACCGAAATTTAATAAAGGCACGAACTACAACAATACATTATTCGGTTCATGGGTTAAACATATAATTTCACAATGCATAATGTGTCAAACTTAGTTGTAACAAACTTTAAACTGTTTACTGTGCAGGCTGATATCCCTGTATCAATCATGAATGACGCCACTAAAATTTGCATATTTAATTTGCTTTCTCAATGTATTTACGCAGAAGCTCCTTACTGGCAGTGCATTATTATTCGCTTAACATTTACGAAGGTTCACACTTTCTCCCTCTTTCCTAAATCGAGATTGCTCAGTCGACAGAGCTTCGGACTCAGAAGGAACCGAAAGATCCCGGGTTCGAGTCCAGGTAGGGATTCCTCGCCTTTCTTTGACCAGAGGTTCATCAATGAGTATCTATCTGTTGGATATTTGCCACATAGCAAGCAGTAGACTGCCTTTAAAATAAGGCACTTTCGGCTGATGGTACGGAAATAACGACTAGCGTCCGACTATTAACTCCAGGACAAAAAGGGTGCCAGAAACGGTGCAAGGCATGTATAAGGAAGGCCGACGTTCCAACGATCATCAACTTTATTTTTTCCCTTCCCTCACTTTTTCTTTCGCTCTGTGTAATGCAGAATAAAACACTAGAGTAAGATTGGAAAATACACTCCGATTCAGATTATAGAGTATAATCTCTCGCTGATAAAAGTAATCTATTTTCCTCACTGAAGTACAATTCTGCTTTAATCAGAGATCTTTCGATGAAGGATTTTAAGTCTTGAACCATGCCATGAGTTAGCGGCAAACCGAATGGGTATTTCAGATAACTTAAGAGCATATAAAAACATACACAGCGGCGAAAATGAAGTTATAGGACAGACAAGGTGCATCAGGATCACCCCTACGCATAGTCGCCGCTGTTCCAACATCATGTCAACAGGATCGGTCTGCAGCGACATTCATGAGTAAAATTAGAGTTACATACAGAATCCAATTTGGTTGACGTCGGAAATCTGCAATTGTAGCTGGACCAGACTGTTTCAAGAAGTATCTTCCCCGTTTATTTTTGTTAGCATCTGTCTTTAGTGTTCTGCTGGAAGGCGTCAGAAGCACACAGAGAGTCAATGTCGTTATTAAAGCTAAAACTAGATCGCAGTTCGGCAAAGACGAAACTTCGTCAGATCAGAACACGCTTGAACTTGGTGGCCACTGCTGTAACGCTGAATCGAGCATTCAAACAAAAAAAAATCATGCTCACCTGTTCACGTACTGAAGAACTACTGGGTCTACCTCTTCCGCCCGGATCAGTGGAGTGAACGTGCGTTCCGCCCGCCGACAAATGCATCTCGCTTGATGAAGGCACGACGAGAGCAGGTTTCCTCCCTAAGCAGATCGCCTAAAAAACGGCGACCCGAGAAACTAGCCATAAGTTACCGGAAGAATAAATTTAGTCAGTGGCGGAATCCGGTTCGCGTAGAGATCTATCCAATAATCTAGCAGATCTATGAACCCATGGTCGAAATGGGTTATAGCTAAAATGATTGATTACGGTAATCTGATTGAGATAGATACCTCAAATGTGTGCATTGTCGTACGTACCCAGATGGGCCTTCTTGGCACTACTGTGAGGAGTTGCAACATTGGATGCGACGTCTTGGAGGCAGCACTGGATCTGTAATAATTAAAATACGAATAAATGAAAATAAAGTCGTTTAAATCAATCTTTAAACGGACCGCTGAAATTAATTTCAAAAAACATAAGCTAATATGAGCTAATATGATGTTTTATCAGCACTGTAAACGCCGGAAGAAACTACGAATCTGATTGTCGTTATAACTGAGGGAATAATTCCTGCGAAGGCGCTGACCAACGGTCCACCGAATAAATAACTTTCAGAATTGCGCTGAACGCGCAGGCATCTTTTCCGTCAATTCAAATCACAAAGAGTACAAAAAGTCAGTCGGTCGCTTGTAATCAATAAAACTTGAGCTCAATAAACTATGATGATATAAGGCAAGCATACTGCCACTCCAGAATAAACAGAAACATTCGACACGTTGAGAATGAGGTCCTTTGACCGAGAGATGATGAACAGCCATAAGCACTTCGGTGTATATTTCACGGACATTCTTCAGCGTAAACTATGTAGCTATTGCTAAAAGTAGCTAATATGCCACGTAAACTCTGCTCAATCATAAATAACCTTACAAGAAATCGATAAAAATAACCAACAAGTAGAGAAGAG